TGGTGGAACATTTTGCGGTTAGACCGGTTGTCTAAACTTGTTCTTCTGGTTCTGCTTAGCAAGTTGTTTTTGTTCTGCCCGCATGCTATAGTTCCTGTGCACACCATTAAATCTAAGATACAAGTCACATACTGAAACTTTATTTGAAACATATTAAAACCTTATAAAAACCTTTTCAAGCTGTCAAGTATCAAGGAAGCTCTGCCTCTGTGGYCATGTGATCGGTTTTTATTAACAAGCAGAGTTATGCAAACACAGTCTGTCCACCAATCAACATGAAGTTACTTTTACTGTTGCTGGGAGGTGGCAGATAAACACAGTCAAAACAACAAGTTTGATCAGGCTCAACAGGCTGGTGTAAGATGATTCAGAGTTTCGACAGGATGTGGGTTTGCTTCCGGTTCTRCAACAAACTGCAGCTTTAGAGAACAACATGTACCAACAGAGGACAACTAATGTTTTCCTCTATCATCAACTATGTGAACATCTGGATCAAACTACTCTAAATGAGGAGTTTCAGTCAGGGTTTAGAGCTCATCATAGCACAGAAACAGCACTGGTGAAAGTTACTAATGATATTCTCACGGCCTCAGACTGTGGACTTGTGTCCATTCTTATCCTGTTAGACCACAGGTTTCAAACTCATTTTCACTGAGGTCCACATGAGTGTTCTGGTGGCCCTCAAAGGGCCAGTTGTAATGAACGTTGATGCTACATGTTTAACTTTGACTAAACAGTGCTTTAACATGTCCTCTTTTAAACACTGATAAGAACTAACTGTACAATGCCCCTTTTGCACTACTGCCACTAGTGGCGGTACGGTTCCATTTCAATTAGACCAGATCCATGGAACCGGCACTTTTTTTTAGTACCTACTTCATTGTGGTTCCAACCGGCCCCAGCTGACACCAAACTGTGACGTCAGAACACTGTTCGACACTGATTGGCTAAATTTTTGCAAATGTTTAAAATTTCAAAAGTTATTCATCAAATGTGTTTCAATCTCTCATTTTTCCCATTAATTTTTATTCAAAATAACTAAAAACCACCTGCACCAATCGCCCACAACACACCCATTGGAACGGACTGGAACATCAGTGGAAAACCAACCGGTCCAACCAGTACCTCCAACCGGTCCGACCAGTACCTACACACTACACTAAGTGGCACTGGTGGAAAAGGGGAACAAGTGACTAAATCTGAAATAATTATAGAAATATTATTAAAAGTAAAACTAATAAAGTTTTACTCACTGATGAGTTTCTAGGGCACATGTGTCAAACTCAATAACATATTTTATGTCAAACTTTAGGTTTGGTTTCCTGTAGTGGTCAAACAAAGTTAACCTCATATTACAAGCTTCAACACTGAGCACCATTCAGACCAATAAATGACACAATGACTGTACTTATAGAGCACATTTCTAACAAACTACACAATCTGACGTCATTTACCCATCCATCCACACAGCACTCTACTGGGTCTCTCTACAAAGATAATCTGTACAGATCATCCTATGGAGACTAATCAGCGCTTTAAATCACATTCATACACAGAACGGACACACATCAGAGGCAGTAGGGTTCAGTGTCTTGCCCAAGGACACGTCGACATGTGACTGAATCGCAGGGAATCGAACCAACTCTCTCACGACAGCCCTAACCACTCAGCCACAGCCTCCCGTT